CCCCCTCCAGGTCTATTTCCGGCAGTTCTGCCGGACCTGCCAGAAGTCCTACAACCCGTACCGTGTGGAGGACATCACCTGCCAGGTAAGGGACCCCCTGCCCCGCCCCGGGCCGCCCTGCCCCGGGCCGCCCCCGCCGACCGCCGCCTTCTCCCCCAGAGCTGCAAGCAGACGAGGTGCACCTGCCCCGTGAAGATGCGCCACGTGGATCCCAAGAGGCCCCACCGCCAGGACCTCTGTGGGAGGTGCAAAGGGAAGCGCCTCTCCTGCGATAGCACCTTCAGTTTCAAATACATCATCTGAGTGGGATGGGGGTTTTGGTTTGGTTTAGGGCTCTTCTAGAAAACTGCAAGGAAAGCAGTTTTTGGGGGTTGGTTTTTTTTGGTGGTGGTGGTATTGTTGAAGGTACATGGTGAGGTGTAGCAAGGAAAGCATCCAAATAAAAGTATTGCAAAGCACGCTCAACTGATCAGGTGAGTTTGTGCCCGGCTCAGAGGGTGCATATTGCAGCTTCTGGAGCTTGCACACGGGAAGAGCCTACAAATAATGTTTCGTAAATCAGCGATGGTCTTGGCGGCAGCTGGCTCAGGACCCTGCAGAACCTCAGGTGGGAAAGGATGTCACTGCCCCTACCCTTGAACTAATCAAATGCTTGAAGTTAACATCAAATTGACATCTACAGTAGGTAGTAGAAAATCATTCATGAACAAAACACCTAGTATTATTCACCTACTGTGCACGCTTCTATTACATGTAGGAAGTCTCCTGCGCGTGTTCTTCATCTCTAGAAAATGATTGAGAAATCTTGTGTTACAACTAGGTCACTTCTGGTGCAGCTGGTCTGCATCTTGTTTTGTAGACTAAAGCCAAAGAAAGTTTTTGATTGCTGTGTCTTCAGGGACAGTTCTCACAAACTGCTGGGGAAGGGAGTCACTGATGTTATGGTCTCTTGGTAAACGTGTTGCCCATTTTTACTTCCACAAGGTTATCGAGAGAAGTGACACTTCAAAGGCTCGCAGCATGGTAACTGCATCTGCCTGGCTTCCTCTTGTACCTGCAGGTGATGCACAAGAGCTGTGCACTTAGTGGCTTATACCTGAAGAGTTTGATCTAGTTATGGTTTAGGTGTCTGCCAGCAGGGAAGGATCAAACTCCTGCACCCTTCTGGGGTTGGATTCACAACTAGGAATTGTACTTCTAGTGCTTGGTAGTAATGGCAGAACCAGTGCGGTTACCTCCGGATGATGTTTTCTGAGGCCTGTTGGTGCTGTCAGTGGTAATGGCCTCCGTAGGGACACCATGCTTCAGCAAAGAGTTAGAAGCTGACTCCAGGACTCTAGCATCACCATCTGAGCAGATTCGCAAGCTAGTAAAACCTACACACCACTAGGCTATCCAGTAGCCAGGGCATTGGGTAAACATAGAGGAAAACATACTTTTCTGAGAATGCTAAACTGTTAATTTTGAAGTTGAGCATAATAAAGCACAAAGCCTTTTGCAGAACTCTTGAGGTAGTTTGTATTTGGAAAGACTAATTTTTCTTGGCTATAACAAACTTAACCTACACCTGTACCCAGCCTACTTGAGACCACCCTTAAAGGCTAAAGGGGGAACCAGTCTGAGCCCATGCTGTGTAACTGAGTCAGTTCCAGGTGGTCTTGCATCTCTAAATGGGAGTTAGTATATGGCAGGGTAGGCAAACGTTGTCCTTTATCAGCAAATGTCCATTTAGAGGGGCAGTGAGTGTTAATTCTGTAGGCTTAACTCATCTTGCTGTAGATTCCTGCTTTATTTTAACATGCCCCTTGAGCTTGCTGCAGTAACTAAGGCTTAATGCCTCAGCACCAATTTATTGCCAAGTAATTTTATTTTATTCTTGCTCCAGTCATTATTATAGCAGCATGAGGCATTCTGGGAACAAGTAGACCTACCACCCCCAGAATGGGGTACTGCTTTATTTTGTGCTTCTACCTGAAGCATTTTCCCTTATATCACAGGAAAAGGAAATATCCCTTGCTTTACCAGCTCACTTACTTAGACTTTCACAGTAAGTTCTGTCCTTGCCCTGTTTGACTTGAGAAGTACAACTGCAGCTGGGCAGTTTTTTTCTGTTGTGGATGTGTGTGCCTTGTACTTGCCTGTAGGTAAAGTAATGAGCAGTGGCAAGTCTCCAGCTTGAGGGGAGACACAGCTGAGGCCACCACTGCAGCTGTCTACCCATGGTCTGCCTCAGCTTGCAGTTGCCACTGTGATCTGGGATGTCCTTATTTCTCAGCATGTTTCTAAGGATGTTCTTCAATGTGTTTTCCTGTTTGCCTTCCCCATTCTAACTGCCAGCTGTAGCCTGTTCCTGCTGGCTGCGGTGTGGGAGACTGTGATGAGTCTGTGCACCTTGGTGATGAGTTTGAGAAGGTAAGCTCTGTGCCATGTCAGTGTGAAGTCATATAGCAACTCACAGCAATATAAGCAGTCGAGTGCTTCCTATTTATACAGATGTCCTTGCAAGCATTGCTTTGAGGACTGCTTGCTGTGACTATGGTGACTCTTATGCAATTACTATCAGTAATAGCCCAAAGTTAAATTTAGTACAACTTAAGAGTTGCCATCCCCACTAACTACAGTCAAAGCAGCAGTTGCTTCTGTTTGGTAAGATGTAGAACAGGCCTAGCCAATCTGAACTGTACAGCGTGCTTCAGCAGCAACTGGTCCAAACAAGCAGTGGATAAAGGCTCCAAGTGGCAGGTAGTGGCAAAGAGCTACCCCTGCTTTCATCAGCTACTGCAAGGTTTTGAGGGTTGGAGGAGTGGAGTGCAGTGGGCGGCAATATTAAACAAGCTTTCTTTCATCCTGTAGCATGCCTCAGTTCTGCAGGGAGCTCTACACGTCATTCCTCTTACATAAATACAAGCAATGCTTTTACTGCTTGATGCCAAAGTACAGTTCTGTATCCTTTTCCACTTTACTGCTCTGTCACATCCTTGACAGCATACGCTGCGTATCATGGGCACTGGTTGCTGGACTCAGCAGAAAGAAGGAAAGCTACTCATGACCTATGTGATTATGCAAAGCAGAAAGGAACAGCCTTCGTGCTGCCAGTTCTTCAGAGATATCTTGAACTTGCCCTGTACAGCTTTTTCATGAAGAGATTCTTTTGCACGTGTTAGCTCACACGTACAGTGCTGTATTTGCTGCATCTTACAGAAGATGCCTGATGTTTTGCTTGTTTCTAGGCAGCTTTACCATAGCTTCAGATTTGGCACACACCTGGCACCAGGTAACGCAGGGTGATAGTTGAGAATGAGTAATTTTGGAAAAGCTTCACAAAGTTAAAGCAGTGTCAAAGAAAGACAGTCAACTAGCATGGGTCTGCTCCATAGGGCAAGTTCCACTAGTCACTGTAAATGGAGGAACATGTATAACATAAGGAATTATGTATATAAATTCAGGTTTGTGTTGCATGAGAAATCCTTTAACAACTTCAGAAGATGCCTAGGAAAATGCTGTTGCATTGACAGCACATAAAAGGAAAAAACATCACTTCAGGGCACCCAGGCCTCTCTTGTCAGTGTTTAGTCTGTTTAGCTAAAGTATCTAAACTCTAGCTTGTAAAAATACACAAAATGACAGATACAATGTCTTTTATTTTTACAAAAAAAGCTGGTAAAAGATGATGTAAATAAGAGTGTAATGCACCACTAAATAAAACTACTTTCCCCCTGTAAATACTTATTAAATAAGAACACCATCTACAGTACCACAAAAACCATCAAAATAATTCAATTTTATCAGGGACAGGGAAAAAAATACAGTGATTATGGATGTGCCTTGACCAGTTACAGAGCTTGTTAGGTTAACATAACTACTGTCAGCAGTCCAACAGCGTGCACAGTGCCTTCAATTAATGCATTTCAGCATAATTACGTTTCTAGTGGGGTCCAATTCCCCCAAAAAGGCAGAGCTAAGAATTTCAATTCTACATTCTAAACTCTGGAATTAGAGCCCATTAAAAAAAAAATCACAGTGGGTAAGAGATATATATAAAAATACTGGGTGTTCCTTTCAAATCACAGGAATCATGGGACTACATTCTTTTTTCTCTGTTTTTTTTCTTTTTTTTTTTCTTTTTTCTTTAATTTTTTTTTACAAAATGCTATTGGTTTCAACAGAATCCAGTTTGTTTTATGCTACAGACTTTGACACTGAACTATGAGTATATTGCCTGTTTGCATGTTTTGGTAGTCAGTCTTTTTTTTTTTTTTCCCTATATAGTCCCAATTCCTTAGGCTTGAGTCGAGTCATGAAGATGCATATACATGCATTCAAACTCTTTGAACCCTGCAGACTACTCAGACTGCAAGTAATGTATATGACTACTGATAGGGAGAACCCCCCCTTCCCCTCATAGCTTTATACACCTACTGTCTTAACAGTGCATTGCACAAATTTACAAGAAAAATACTGGTTTTGCACTATACAGTTTCTAGAATATATACAGAATAAAATAAGTTAACTTCTAATGAGAATTGCTGATGGGCAGCATATATCTTTAATATACATTTTAAAGTCTCTGCAGGCAGCTACTTTTTGGTTAGTTGTTATCAATATTTGTAACATAAGCACTGATCAGAGAACTGAGCAGCATTCCAATAAAGTTAACAGATATATTATTTCTTTTAGAAACACTGGGAAATCCCAGTTTAAAATATTATTAAATGTCCTAACATTTACACACTATGAGGATTAGATCTAATAAAATAAAATTTCTTCAAAAATAATCTTGCAGCTCTTTTAAGCATGCTCTGAGACCTTATTTAACAATCATCCATACCTTCAAAAAACCTCTGTCACATAGCCATACATTCTAACTCACACACATCATTTCCTTGTTACAGACAACAAAAGCAAATAAAACATTGAGAAGTCAATGGTTTTTGCAGTCATAAGTCATTCTACTCATGTTTGACTGCACATTCTTCATGACTTTGCAAAGTGTGTCATTGGGTATTAGTTGATGATTATATCTACCACTGCTGGAAAGCCAGGAAGCCTTGCAGGTCTTCAGCCAAAATGAACCAGCCTTGATTTTAGCCTCATCCCACCTGCAATATTGATTCAACCTTTAGAGGCTGTTGCTGCAAACACCATTTATAGTTCTGTTACAACAGAAGATAATGCACGTCTATGCATTACATTTAAGCCCTTTTCCTTTCATGTAGTTTTTATACATAAATTTAATAAAAAAATACTACTGCCACACAGCTACTGTGTAGAAAGAGCAGTCAAGTAAGATGTTCACTTCAATT